AGACAAAATAGACTTGGTTTGTGACTACTGTAAGAAGCCTAAACATACAAGAGATACTTGTTGGAAGCTTCACCCACATCTTGTGCCGACTAGATTGAAAAATAAGAAGGGAAATGCGCACATGGCAGTTACCGGTGATACTCTGGCCCCTCCTACTACAACTGCTTTGGAGTCTGTCGCAGTTGTTGCAGTAAGGGACGAACTTGAGAGGTATGGGCTACTTCTGAACCAACGGGATACAGCTAGTTCCAGTTCAGCCGCAAGTGGACAACAAGGTACAGGTGGCACTGGTGGAGCTCACTCTACCTCCTTTGCTCACACAGGTAGTTCACACGTCACTGCAAATTATGTTTCCACTTCAGGTAAGGAGGGACCTCCTTGGATTATAGATTTTGGAGCCTCAGAGCACATGACCCATAGCTCCACTATTTTTTCCTCTTACCAGCTCTGTTCTGGCAGAGATAGGGTCTCCATAGCTGATGGATCCCATGTTGCTATTGCTAGAAGGGGTCTGTCAAGATTAATGATTCTATTTGTTTACCCTCTGTCCTTCATGTTCCCAGATTGAGCACTAATTTGTTATCTGTTATTAGTTTGACTAAGAATTTGAACTGCTTAGTAATTTTTTCTCTTGAACGTTGTATTTTGCAGGATCTGGATTCAAAGAGGACGATTGGGAGTGGTCGTGAAGTGAATGGAATCTACCTCCTGGATGTTCCCCCTCACCAGAGTCATCATGTTAGCAGGGACAACGTGACAGGATCTATGAGTCAGATTATGCTCTGGCATAATCGTTTGGGCCATTTGTCTTTTTCTTCTTTGAGTTCTTTGTTTCCAAAACTTTTTGAGTCTGTTAGTCTGTCAAGTCTGGAGTGTGAAGGTTGTCAACTTGGAAAGCATTGTAGGCATTCTTTTAAACCTAGTAATAAAAGATGTTCTTTTTTTGATGTTATTCATTCGGATGTGTGGGGTCCTTACCATGTTCCTTCTATGGGAGGCTATTGCTATTTTCTCCTATTTGTGGATGATTTATCTCGATACTCTTGGATTTATCTGATGAAATCCCACGATGAAGTATCATCTTTGGTGAGGCAATTTCATCAGATGGTGCTAACACAGTTTGGAACAAGAATAAAGGTGTTCAGATCTGACAATGCCAGAGAATATTTTGAAAGACATCTTGCCTTGTATTTGTTAGAATATGGTGTTGTCCATCAGAGCAGCTGCTCCTACAATCCACAACAGAATGGTGTTGCAGAAAGGAAGAACAGACACATTGTTGAGACCACAAGAAGCATGATGATC